GGTTTTGTATATTTTATACCCTTGTCATTTTCATATAAATTTTTAGAATAAGTCTGTTCATTTTTATAGAGTCTGGGGAGGTTTAGACGGGTCTCATATTGAAGCTATCCTTTTGGAATTTGGAATATAACAGTATTGAGTTTTTAATCCTTAATTATCTAATATCTCTCCATATATTTAGGAGTTTTTGTTTTCTCTCAGAATGGCCTGTAATTTTTATTCTACAGATCTTGCATATAGTTTTCCAGTTTTTCCCCAATATATTTCATATTCTTATGTCAATATAAATTGAATTATTTTCTAAATTATAATCATGAATTTCTCTATTATATGGGCATATTATTGACTTTTATGAGTTGGTTTTGTATTCTTTCGCACTGCTCGACTCACAAGTCCTACTAAGCTATTTTGTAGACTGCTGAGGATTTTTGAAATAGGCTGCCATGTTATTTGTGAATAAAAAAGTTTAACTTCTTCCCTTCTAGTGTGTAGGCCTTCTATTTCTCTCCTTTCCTTGTTGCACTAGCTTGGACCTTGAGCATAATGTTGAATACAAGTAGTGGTGACTGTCCTACCTTCCGATGGGGTGGGATGATGCATTCTTTTCCTACTAAGTTGGATGTTTCTATAGATTTTAGTAGATACCCTTTGCCTTGGTTGCTTTCCTTGTCTATGAAGCACAGTTCCTTGCACAACAATTTAAAAGAAGGTAGGTTTATTGTGATTCCTGTCTCTAGTCCATGGTCATTTAGCTCCAAGGCAGGAAGGGCACGACAGAGGGGTCTGGCAGAGGGAGTCTGCTCGCATCATGGCAGGCAGGAAGCAGAGAGAACGGGAAGGAGCCAGGGAGGGAAGTGTGCTCGTCCAGATGTTGTCATCAGAGACTGACTCCAAGCAGCAAGTTAGCTGTGGCATCCCCATGACCCAGGCACCGTCCAAAATCCACGCTTCTGAACCTCCGAGCCATCTGGGGGACACTGCATATCCCAAGTAGTAGCACCTTTTACCTCTTACGGGATGTTTGCTATCCTGCTATTTCTAGCTTACTAACAATTTACAGTCACAAGTAGATGTTGAATTGGTCAGATTTACATATCTAGTCATATAATCACATCCTTTTTGAAAGTTGTGTTTGAAAATCAAGCCTGCGTAGGCAGACACGGGGACTAGGGCTCCATGCGCAGTGTGCTGTGCCGGCCCCACCCCTGGGGCAAGCTGAGATGGCGACTGAGGCTGGGCATGATGGCGTGCCCTGTAATCCCAGCATTTGGGAGGCTGAAAACAGGAGAATCACTGTGAGTCCGATTTGTGTAGTGAGACCCTGTAGACCCTGTACAAAATACATAAAAAAGAAAAAAAGTCAACATTGGATGACTTAAAAAAAAACTTCATTTTGAAATAATTGTGTCTTCACATATAGCTGTAAGAAATAATAGAGATACTGATATACCTTTTAGCCAGTTTCTCCATAAAGTAACAGCTCAAAAAATACTGTAACAATCGCAGCCAGAGTTCTGACGTTGATCCAGCCAAGATCATAAGATTTCTATTGCCATAGCATCTCTGATGTTGCATTTTAAGAATCATCTTTATCTCTCTTCCTGAACCTATAACCCTTTATAATCCCTGCAAACCACTAATTTGTCAAGAACTTTATAAAAGAAATTATCCATTATGTAACCAATATGTAATCTTTGGTAACTGACTTTTTTTACTCAGCACAGTTATTTGTTGATGTATTAAAATATACTTATATGTGAGTATATATATATATATATATATATATATATATATATATATAGTTGTTGCTGAGTAGCAAGCTATGATGTGGACATAGTACAGTTTAATGATTTACCTACTTAGGGACATACGGTTGTTTCCTTCCGTCATTTTGGGTGTCAGGTATTTGTCCCAGCAATGAGAGAAGAGTAACTAAGACACACACTTATTTTCATAGCAGGAAAATTTATTCTAGAAATTAACAATAAATAAACAAATATAAAACCAAAGTTGTAATTGCTATACTATAATCTTTAGCCAAAATTCTTCACAAGTCACCAAAAGACCTTTATTAGGAATATAAGTCAAATTATATTATCAATGTTATAGAAAACTATATTAGCATATTAATTTCTATTTTAGTCATCAAGATATCTATGGTTTTATAATAATTAATATATTTTTTTAAATTTTTATTTATTTGTGTGTGTGTGTGTGTGTGTGTGTGTGTGGCCAGCTCAGCCCACCAGGGGGCGGGGCTGGCCGGCATGTGGTGCTGGGGGATTGAACCGCGGTCCCTGTGCTCTGTTTAGCTTAGCTTGTTCTAAGTAGGTGCTCTAGACCACTGAGCCATCTCACCAGCCCCAATAATTAATATTTTGAGTTGTTGAAAAGCTAATTTTAAAATACCTCTGGTGGTTTTCTTTTCTTAGAGAATCACTTAATCTGCTACTAATGTAGTCACTTCTGCTTTCTTGTGATTCAAATTTACAAGATATATAATTTTTTGCTCTTTACTTTCTTTTTTAAAATTATTTATTTTTATTTATTACATTTTATGTTATTGTGTGTGTGTGTGGCCAGCTCAGCCCACCAGGGGGCGGGTCTGGCTGGCAAGTGGTGCTGGGGATTGAACCGCGGTCCCTGTGCTTTGCCAAGCTTGTTTCAAGTAGGTGCTTTAGACCACTGAGCCATCTCTCCAGCCTGCTCTTTACTTTCAACGAGGTAATTTTGTTCTAGTTCAACTGAGCTCTGTATAGGCTGTATTTGTTATAGTTTTTAATCCAGTTTGCAAAACCCTGCTTTCTAATTGATGTATTTAGCCCATTTATACTGAATGTAATTGTTGACATTTTCTATCTAAAGTCTCCCATTTTACTTTTTGTTCCCTGTTTATCTTCTTGGTTTGTTTCCATTGTCTTCTTGCCTTTCTGGGGAATATTTTTCCTTCAGATCTGTGAGGTATTAGAGCTAATTTTATTTTTTCCTTATTGTTAGTGAATAAAATTAACTGAATAGTCAATATTAAATATTCCTAACATCTATTTGTTCAGCTAGCCATCCCTTCATTCATCCTTTCTAGAGATATTTACTGAACCATTGTGATATTAAACACTATTTTTTTCAGATACTACCCCTTAAGTTCTGTACTAGTTTGTTTTCTGTGGCCACTGTGACAAATGGCCTGAGACAACAGAATGCGCTTGCTCATATTCTGCAGTCTTCCTTCCTTGAGGATGAGAGCGTCCTGAGCTGTCTGTAGCCCACTATCCGGTGGCTCTAATCGAACTGCCTCTTCTGTCCCTTATTTTCCTCTGAAGAACTCTTTAAAGGACATGGGTATTATTTGATTTAGGCCATACTCAGATAATTCAGGATGATCTCTTTATCTCATGAGCCTTTTTAAAATTAAGCAACTTCACAGATTGCAGAGTTAGAGTGTACACATACCCTTTAGGGGGCCGCCACTGGTCCAGTGCACACAGTATTTATAAATGCCGCTTTGATTCCCCGTGTTTGATTCTCTCGCCATCATGACATTTTCTGTTTCACATTTGACATTTTTCTCTCTTCTTCCTCAACTTTGTGTATTAAAGGATTCACTTAGAAATATCCTTTGTCTGTCAGAGGATTCACTTAGAAAGTAGTGAGGACAGTTAAAAATCATAGTGTCATTTATCTCACAGCCTACTTTACTACATCAAGGTGAAAGGATTTTTGCAGCCGGATAGCTTCGGTTAGAATCACATTGTGCTTTTTATGAACTGAACTGATAAAACTCTGAAGCAGAAATGAGTTACTTTAAAAAATTAAAAATGTATTAAAGTTTAAAGTACATATAATTAAATAGTTCTATTTGAAGAGAAGTAAAAAGAATTCAGTTAAGCAGACGTTGTGGCATTAGCAATTAATGTTGAAGTGGCTGTGCATTAAGAGTAGCTGAATGTCCCTTGAGGTCACTTGCTAGCATATTTTTACATATCTCAAATGCTTAGAATGACACAGAATTTATGTTACTTAAGAAATATTTTAAAAGCAAAGGATTAGGCTGGGAATACAGCTCTGGGCCAGAGTGCTTGGCTGATTGGGTGCTTCCTAGCAGGCTAGAAGCCTTGGGTTCCATCCCCAGTACTAAATTAAAAAAAAAAAAAATCAAAGGTTTCTTTTGTAGTTCATAAAAATGGGATTTCAGAAAAATTTAAATACTTTTCATGGTACTTAGTGTACTAGAGTATCATAGATATTATTA